CGCACCTTCTTATCATTTTCTTGTTCTTCATATTCTATTAAAGTTTCAAATATGTTAGTCTCTTGTATTTTAAAGATTCAAGATTTTTCCTATGTCGTTTCATCTTCATTTCATGCATATCAATCTCAGTACTTTAATCTTGGATAGCTACTTGAACGTAATAAAAAAGTATCACATCACTCTTGTGACTTCTTTGTCTCTTGCAGAGGAAATACTTACTTTCACTATTTTAGCTATAGGAAAATGATAATGAATTTTCATTTTCAATAGCTGTCTATAAAGAATATCCTTAAAGAGCTCTTGAGTCCAAAGAGCATCTTCATAAAATTTATGAGTTATACATGCTTGTTACTTTGAATTTCAACAAATTTTAATTTTCTCCACTATCCATATTTATTAGGAAGTTCATAGATATCATTTTGTTGATGATTTTTGTACCTATACCATCTACTTGATAGAATGTAACTAAAAAAACTCTACTCATGTTTTAAGTCTATCAATATTCCTCTACCACTAAATACACTTTGTCTAATATTAACTTGTAAACGTGAATAAAGAACAAAAATCTAAGCCAATTAACCTCGAAAAATAAAAAAGAACATCTAACAACCTGAAAAATCGTTTTGAAAATATCAGAAAAAGGTTTGGAAGTGGTTGAACCAGAGAAGGTGAACTGACTTGGATCAAACCGGTTTAAACTGGTCAATAGAATGCCTCAGATTTTAATAACCAAAGCAATATATCAATATCTAGATGATAAGAATAATCAATAATCTACTTAATAATTAAGTTAGGTATTTTGCTTATAGGCACCAAATACATAAAAAAGTAGACAATCTATAAAACCTAACAAATAAAAAATAAGTTAAATAGAAAGAACCAGAGAAACAAAAAATCTATGGAATAGTAAAATAAATCTTCCTATTTTCCTATATTGTAAGACTTTCCAAAATTTAGAAAGAAAATTAATTTTCCTATTCCTTTTAGTTAATTTTCCAAAACATTTGTGTTCCTTTATTGCTTATGTCTCATATACCTTATTATTAAAAGATAGGCACTTTGGGAGCTTCCTGTTTTGCATCACCTCTACTTGAAAAATACATAAAAAACATTGGCCCTTACTAAAGATGTATCATTAACAAAAGCTGCTCTTACTTTCTATTTTTAAGTTTCTCTTACTCTCATCCTAACTGCAATTTGGTTTTGTTTAAACTGTTAATAACATGCAATGGTACTCTGGGCCAAAAAAATCAAAAATTTAGGAAGCATCCTATCAACATAGCACCAGCCTACTAAAATTTGCCATTCAACATGATCATGACCCTAAGTCAACTTCAGTATTAGTTGTAACATAGATCAATCACCAAAACGTGTTGGTTATGATACTTCTGATATTATTAAGCTACTAATATATTCCACTATCTTCTCTATTGCAGTAGCAATTAGGGACATGAGATATTATGTAGGGGCTGGAGTTTTGCGAAACTAAAACCCTGATAATAGTAAATCTGCTGTTAAAACAGCATTTTGTTGAATCTTTTAGTGGCTTTTTGTGCGTGAAACGGGCTTGCTGTAGAATTCATTTTGTTACTGAACTGTTTATCTTCTATTTTTATCAAAATCCTTCAAAATTTTATAAACTTGCTACAGTGTGTAACTAGACATTCAAGGGAACAATAAATATCTGCTTTGGGATCTAACTGCTTTCATGACAGTTAATCTTTGTCATTTAAAGATCTTTTTTGAATTCATAATTGCAAATCGAGAGCATAATTTGTGCCTCAGTGAAGCTAGCTGCATTTTCTGTGTATAGCCTCCATCCTGATTGCAACAGACACTAACAATGAGTGTTTTTTTAGTTCTCCTTCATGTCATGCTGCAAATGATGCAGATAACTTGAAGCTGATGCTTATAAACCTGAAACTTTTCCAGGGAGGACCTTACAGAGGATGACTTCTATGATCGAAGTGGACCTTGGCGTGACCAGGTTAACTTTGCTAGCACCAGAGACTAACTTTAATTGAATTTTAGATTGCGCCTATTGTTAGATTCTCTTCTACAGGGTCTTTGCCTTGTTGACTTTGGGAGAGGAATAGATCTGCGTCTTTTTCCTGACAATGTGGAATTTAAGGGCGACTGTCGGACATCTAGCTTTCGGTGTGTTGAAATGCAGGAGAATAGACTGTGGAAATTTCAGGCAAGCTTTATTTAGATTATAACACGCAGCTAGAAGCTCACTGCTACAATTGAGACTGGACTGGTTAATCCTTCTGGTACTTTATGACAGGTGGATGCATATTGCCTCTGTGGTGTTGTCCATATGATGCTTCACAACTCCTATATGGAGGTTGTAAAGAAAGCATCATCCAGTGGCGACTACATTTATAAACCTAGATCATCTCTTAGACGGTATTTCTTTTTTCTTTGTTCTATATGTTAAACTCCAAATAGTATAATGATTTCTATGATACTGCTACTTCAGAAACATTAGAAAAAGAAGATCATACACATTAGAGGAGAATTTGTTTCTCTTTTTTGACAGTTTATATTTTCGGTTTGTTCTTTTGTTTTTTTTTACTTCATTTTGCTCTCACAATTACTATCAGATACTGGAATGTCGACTTGTGGGAAAATCTCTTCACAAAGCTGCTTAACAGTAGCCATGGAAATGATGACACAAAATTGCTGCGGAGTTTGAGGGAGTCCTTTCAGTGGTACATCCATGATAACCCTGAGCTCTTAAAGAAACTAAAGCAATTATTGGCAAAGCAAAGGGCGTCTTTGTGTTCTTCTTAGTGTATATTATATCATTTCTTCAGAATCCACCCTAAAAGTGAATATAAATAATTTTAGGAAGTAAATATTTTTTTTTTGAAATCAGTCTGTTGTCCAAAAGGAACTTTGTGCGCACTAGTCATTCTGGCAATGTATTTACTTAATGTCTCCTTAGATAAAGAAAGATGTCTCCTTGTAAAGATTAGTATTGTAACCACTTAGGTAAAATTAATTTGAGTGCAGAAGTTACTCACATGAGAGCAAAGAATCAATCAAATATATTGATTCAAAAACTGATACATCATATACATAATTAGGTTTAAGATGTTACGGTAAAATATATCATATATAATTAATAGTCTGTTGTTTTAAAAAATTTAGTGATATTTAATAAAATATATACTTAATCATTTTTAATACTTTTTATTAGGTTTTTTCCCTTTTATTTCTTTAATTATGCTTGGTGGCATTCAGATGAATGCCATGTCGGGAACACGCAAACACATTAATAAATCTGCTTGTTTTTTCTCTCTTTTATTTTTCTTTAAAATCTAGAGTTTTATTTTGCTATTCCCGATTTAATTAGAATCGAACAAAAAATTATTCTTCGAACAAGGTTTGATTAAAAAATATTATATTATTTTATTTAATAGAGAATTTATATATATTCTTTTATCAGACTATCTATTAAATTTAAACTCACATATTCGTATAAAATGATCAAAATATTAACAGTAGAAAGTAATAGTTTGTAATTCATGTATACTTTTAAACATTTACTTACACTGCCACAGATACTGACAAGCATTATTTAACCAGTTCAATGCAAATTAGATAATATTCGCCCTGCTTGAATTGGCCAGAAAATGTGCAGTTCAACTTTTATGGACTGAAATTTTTTGAGTCAAAATTCAGTCATGCCAGGTCTGAATCAATCAATATATTTTTTAATCTTAAAAATTAAAATATTAAATACATAAATAATATACATGTATCTTATATACATTATATGAGTAAAAAATTAAGAAATTAAATTTATAGATAATCAATTTAAAAATTTTAGAATTTTCTGAATAAATTTCAATCTGGACCAGTTGGGTTCTGGGCCGAACTTATATGAGTTAGGTCTTCGGTTCAAACAATTTTTTCCCTTCTATTTGACTCCGGTCTGAACCGGGCTTGTTCGATATCGAGCCCAGTGGGCGGCAAGTAGTTATGAAGTGAAGTCAAGGCTAAATCAGTCATTTAACAAAAAGAACCCTAGTAATCTCCCGGTCTCTTCCCCCCGGATATATATTTCGTCCCTTTCATTTCTCCCTAAAGTCAGGAGGTACTGTGAGCTGTCCCGGCGACTCACTAAGGTTAGTCTTCACTTCTCAAACTCTCTTCTCGCACCATTTATTCCTTCTTATCCTACTTTCACTGCATTTTTTTTTGATGTTTCTCTAATTTATGTTTGTTTACCGAGAAAGTATGGGATTACTTTTCTGTTATTTTTTTTTATTTTCCGTAAGTATGGACAAAACAGACGCTTGGAAATGCTCGATTTAGGATCTATGCTAGCTTCTTTTTTTTTCCTGGGAGAAAATCTTTGTAGAAAAGTTTTTTTCTATTTTCTTTGTTTTTGCAACAATTTCATGCGATCGTATAGAGTGATGGCTGCTAACCAGAAGAAAAACTTAGGTTTCTATTTTATTGGTAAATTTCGTTTTTCTTTGTAATGGTTGCGTGTATGAGAATGTGACAAACAAAGGAGGCGCGGGAATGGGGATTTGATTTATACGGGGAAGGAATTTAAAGTAATTTTATTGAGCTTACCTGATGATAAATAAGAATTTCCGTTTCGTATTACAATGAGTTGTTTTGAGAAGAGTACTTCCATGAGTTGTTGAATGAGACGTTATAATGAATCAAGCTTTGGTATTGATGCATTTCGTATGATGCATTTAGTTTCTCCAGCAGGTTTTGTTTCTTAGAAATCTGGAGGATGAACTTAAATTTTGTATGTTTTTTGGAAAAGAAAACTTGAGGATCTTTAGGTGTGGCACTGACTTAATTGATTGTCTGATGTTAGCTCTATAATATTGGATTTTGATGTGTTCCTAGTAAGTATTTCAAAGCCCTGTAGTTTTACGATTTAAAGTTGGTATTTTCATTATTTTTTAATTAATGGGTTTCAGTGATATGTTTTCTACTTAACATGGAGAAGAAAATATATGTTGATGTATGGAGTATTAGATTTCAGAAATTCCTAACCATTAACATTTCTACAGAGAATCAACATCGTACGGCAAACTAGTGCAAAATGATGTACACAATTTTTTCCATTCATTTCAAAGCAAAAGGATTATCCCCATCCCTTCAACTTTTGTAATTGACTTTGATGAATGTGATTTAATTTGTTTGAACTGAAAGCCTTTCTTATGAAAATTATTTTTTTTTGTTGGAAAATCCCATGCATGTGGTTCTATCTTGTATGTACCAGTACTCAGGGCATAATCTCTTGCTGATGCCTTTTGATATTGATATTGGTATCCTAGTGCTATGATGAATATTCATGCCAGTTCAAGGATAATAAGTTATTCTGGACAAAATTGATACGATACAATCAGGGAGTTAATTTTACTACCTGGATAAAAATGGCAATATGAAGATATATTCTAGAACTAACCAATGCAGTTCCCTTTTTGATCTAATTTTCTTCTAGGTTACCATCTTGAGTTTCAAAAATGGCAGATGGATTGCAGCATCCATCACTATTGGGGAAGATACATGGGCAATCTTACTTCATTTCTAGACTTTCCCCTAACCTGCAAACGTGCAATTATAGCTTGGGTAGTGCGTATTTAAATGGTGGTTTGCAGAATTCTTTGCAGCCAACTCAACATGGTATTGGCCTTCCGCTCGTGTCTCCTGTTTCTCCCATATTTGTACAAGCACCATCAGAGAAAGGTGTCTCTGGATTTTTGGTGGATTTCCTCATGGGAGGAGTTTCTGCGGCTGTTTCCAAGACAGCAGCTGCTCCAATTGAGCGGGTTAAACTCTTGATTCAAAATCAAGATGAAATGATCAAGGCTGGTCGTCTATCTGAGCCATACAAAGGTATCACGGACTGCTTTGCAAGAACAATTAAGGATGAAGGTGTCCTTTCTCTTTGGAGAGGAAACACTGCTAATGTCATTAGATATTTCCCTACACAGGTTACTTTTCTATCATATGATTTATTTTAGGTTTGCCCCTTTGTATCCTGTGCTACTTTCCTCCCAGTGTGTTCTAGGTTGCCTTTTAGTATATTCCCCTCAAGTGATTATAAGTGTTATGAAGCTTTACTATCAGTGTTAATTTTTTCTGTAACTTCTAAATTAGAGTTAATGTTCAACATCTTAAATCATGTGCCAGGCATTGAACTTTGCATTCAAGGATTACTTCAAGAGATTGTTCAATTTCAAGAAAGACAGAGATGGCTACTGGAAATGGTTTGCTGGGAACTTGGCATCTGGTGGTGCTGCTGGTGCTTCATCCCTTCTATTTGTTTACTCCCTGGATTATGCTCGAACACGTTTAGCTAATGATGCTAAGGCAGCCAAAAAGGGTGGTGAGAGGCAGTTCAATGGGTTGGTTGATGTTTACAGGAAGACCATAAAATCTGATGGCCTGGTAGGGTTGTATCGTGGTTTCAACATTTCATGTGTTGGAATTATTGTATACCGTGGGCTTTACTTTGGAATGTATGATTCCCTGAAGCCTGTGGTTCTTGTAGGGAATTTGCAGGTATGTTGTACTTAAATCTATGATCTCTGATGTAAAATTTCATTCATACCACTGTCACTTTATTTTTTCCCCTAGTTATCATGTTAATGTTATAAGATCGATTTGAGGACTCTGATCTGTTCGAGGGTTGGGTCAACGCTTTAATCTAATGTGTCTTTGCCTATTATCTATTTTGTTGATGTTGCATACTATAGCTGTTTTGCTTCTAAATTACTCTTTTGTTAGATCTATAGACTTCAGAGGCAAGCTATTGACTTCCTGTTTGTCTGGTGTTCACAGGATAGCTTCCTGGCTAGTTTCTTGTTGGGATGGGGTATCACAATAGGTGCTGGATTGGCTTCTTACCCAATTGATACAGTGCGTAGAAGGATGATGATGACCTCTGGCGAAGCAGTCAAATACAAGAGTTCAGTGGATGCTTTTCAACAGATCATTAAGAAAGAAGGTACTAAATCACTCTTCAAGGGTGCTGGGGCTAACATCCTCCGTGCTGTTGCTGGTGCTGGTGTGCTTGCTGGTTATGACAAGCTGCAGGTCATTGTTTTGGGCAAGAAATATGGATCTGGTGGTGGTTAATTGGCACAGTGGGATGTGGGATGATGATGAAGAATATTCTAGTTATCTTGAGTTTGAATAATTTTGTATGGACATTAGTGGGCTTGGTGTTTACTTGCATATGTGGATTTGGTGTAAGAAATTATAGTGAAAACAGGACCATTTGGAATTTGAGTGTTTCCAGTGCCTTGTCCTGTAGAAGTAGTGGCTTTCAGTTGTCCTTCTTGTTGAGAATAATTGAACAGCTTTTCACCAGCAACCTAATAGATATGGCAATGTTGTGTTTTAAGTATTGCAATTCGCCTGTACTATATTCTGCCTGACACTCATTGTTTTGCTAAATTTGTAGAGAAACGGCTAAAAAGTGAGTGTAAATGGAGAAAAAGGATGATTAGCTGTTAATCTGATTCTCATTGGTCAGTTGTGTTGGGTTCATTTTGAAAGTTAGAAAGCTTCTGGTGCCTGGTCATGTCTGTCTGTTGGCAGAGGCAGCAAGTGAAGCTTTTTCTTTCTACCATTCTGATAGAAAGATTGTA